ATGAGTGTGAATGTAAGATAGGTAGTGGTCAGGTTTTACTCTATTATATTCCATTTAAGATGACTTGATATTACACTGCTAGTCTTCATGATTCATGAAGCACAAAGAGTGTTCTAAGTAATGTAAATAATAAAGAAATAAAATGTACCTAGAAAATCTTCTGTGATGTCATCCTTTAAACCAAGGGTCCCCAACCTTTTTTAACATGTGGGCACCTTTGGAATTCTGATACAGTGTGATGGATGCAGCCACAAAATGGCTGCCGTAGCTTACCTTCAGTCACCCAGTGAAGATCCTTGTGCTGTGGGGCAGCTGCTGCCAAAGCAACATTTTAAAAATCTGCACAGACAATCAAAAGCCTTGCTGGAGAATAGCTAGGGTTGCCAAGTCATTTTTTCTTACCGGCGGGGGAGCCTCGCCAGGTTCTGGGAGCCGTCTGTCGATGTGCGTGCACGCTTCGCACGCCGCCAGCACATCACCGTAAGTGACGTGCAACGTCGATCACGTTGAAGGCGTGGCCCCGATCGCCGTAGGGAAAACCATAGAGTTTTCCCTCCGACGATTGGGGCCATGCCCCCAACGTGATTGACGTGGTTGCCTCACCTCCGGTGACGCAGCCACACTGTGCTTCAGAGGGCAAAGTTCCCCCCAGGGCCCAATTCCGCGGTGGCGGGAATTGGGCCTCCGAAGCAGGGGTTTACCCACCCCCACTTGGCAGCCCTAAGAATAGCCCCACCTGGCCCTGCCCACTTTCTCAAAACAGTTGGTGGGCCTCAGGAAAGGTGTTGGCAGGTGCCATGGTGCTCATGGGGACCATGTTGGGGACCCCTTCTTTAAACATACAATGCAACTCATCCCTGCTTTGTCAAGTGCTAACAATGTGCAGGAGAGGAGGTTGTCAGCTGGCCTGAAAAGAACAGTCTGATATTTTTTGCCTCCTCGGACACAGTTACCAAAAATTTTAGTTAAAAGCCAGAATTTGGGCAGGGTAGTCATTATTTTTAACGTGAAGCTGGAATTCCTTGAGTAAAAGTGAGAACAGCATTTCTCCTTAATGTGTACTTTAAACTGTGCATGTGCACTAAGGTCCAAGTTGCTGAATTCAGCCCCTGTTCTCCGTTTCACATACTGATTAATAAAACAATGCAGAATATGTGCATGTTCTTCCACCATAGCTAACTGCAATCATAAGAGGGGTCACAGTCTAACTAGTATGTGACAAGAAAGCAAGAAATTGTGACAAACCAATGCTAAATACTAATAAGGATTTATAGAACTATGCTGTATTCCTTTCTCAAAGACTTATCATAAGTGTATCATAAGTGGATCCTTACTTGCTACAAGCTTCCTCGCCCTAATGAAGTCAGGAAAAAGCAAACTTTCTTACGCAGCAGGATAATTCTTTGGAAAGTTTTCCTGTGTCAGATTTTTCAAACATTTGGAATGGACACCTTAGACACTGGATTTTGACTTTTGATTTATATATAACTAGCAGTAAAGCCCGTTGTGAAAGCAATACAACGAGACCTAGAAAGAGGCTCTGGGGGAGTGCTCTGGCTTTGGGCAAACAGTGTCAATTTGCTGTGGTGACCTCAGCAGGGTATAATGACAGAGTCTACTGTTTTCTCCAGAGGAACTGATCTCTGCTACCTGAAGAGCAGTTGTAATTGTGAGTGATCTTTAGCCCTCACCTGGAGATTGGCAGCAATTGTTACCCGGGACAAAGTGGCTGGTTTGGAGGGTGTAGTCTATGGCATTCTACCTGTCTGAGGTCCCACCCCTCTGCAAACCCCACCCTCTCCAGGCTCCACCCCTCAAATCCCCAGGAATTTGTCAGCATGTAGTTGGCAACCCCATCTCCTTCCCAGCTAACCATCAACCTACTATTATCTGCCCCTTTGACTTCAGCTGACTTCTGCCCTCCCTTCTGCAGAACAGTTGTAATTCTGAGTGCTCTCCAGCACTCACCTGGAGATTGGCAACAATGGTTCCCTATGTGGGACTTACTGGTTTGGAGGGTGGAGTCTATGGCAGTGTACCTGTCTGAGGTCCCACCCC